TTATAATAAGGAAAATATGTATCTTCTGTTTGTCTTTAAATTTTATGACCTCTTCATATTTTTCTGTTGCTCATGTGGTTGCTTAAGTTACTCACTGCATAGGCCAGGTCTTGATTTCCTAATGAATTATGATAATTTATTTATTGTAATAATCTCCCTTTTTATGAAGTGTATTTAAATTTGTTTTTGAACTTAAGGCTCTATATATTGCTTTAAAAAGTTATCTATGAAAAAATCGCTTTGAAATTCTAGTCACTCTTGTCAGATAAGAAATTCCAGAAATGATATTTGATATTTAACCTGATATTAACACTGTAGGTAGACTGTTTGCTCCTTTCCCCCACTCCTTCACATAGTAGAAGAAATAGCCCTCTAAACATGTTTCCCTGTGTAGAAATTCATCACATAATGACCAAATCTCCAATCATGTCTGAATATTTTATTCCTTTTTTTGTTTTATTGTCTTGATTGTTATCCAGAAAGTCATATCAAGGTCCAAGGAACAAAGTATGTTAATTTCTGATAGGCTTGATCTTGAATTAGGTTTTCAGAGGTGTGAGTGTCCATATCTAGCCGATGGCAGCCTTGACTGACATCTGGGCTCACTGAGTTTGGTTCTGTGGATTCTAGGTACACACACTAGGTTAATACTTAAGGAAAAGGGTTCAGTAATGAATACACAAAACATACCATATGCAATTAAATATGGAAATAAGAGAATTGGGTTGCTTGAGGCATGCAATGAAGTCTGTGAAAAGATTCATGGGAGTCTTTAATATTAGCTGTCCATAGCTATGAACTTCCTTCCCTTGTCAGGACTTTTAAGTCTTGACAGAGGTAATAAGTTTTTTGGTCAAGAACTTGTGCCCAAGAGGTATGTGTCTTAGTCTCTTTTCTGTTGTTATAACAGAATATCATAGTCTGGGAAGTTTATGGAAAATAAGAGGTTTATTTTGGCTCATGGTTTTAGAGGCTGAAAGTCCAAGATTGAGAGCCAGAATATAGCAAAGTTTCACACTACAGCAAAACACAACAGAAGAGCTCAAAAGCAACTGGGCACAGGGACAGGAGACAAAGCATAAGGGAAGTCATACTTTTAAACCACTCATTCTTAAGAGAATGAGCCCACCCCTGCCAAAAAGGCATTGATTCCTCTTACTGAACTAATCACTTCTTAAACTCCTACCCCCCAGTACCAGAATGATGGCAATCAATTAGACAGAGGGGAGTGAAGGGAGGAAAGGGGTTATGAAGGTAGGAAGTATAATAGAATGAATAAGACATTATTACCCTATGTGCATATATGATTTCACAACTGATATAATCCTCTATCATTTACAACCAGAAGAATGAGAAGTTATGCTCCATTTATGTAGGATGTACCAAACTGCATTCTATTGTCATGTATAACTAATTAGAACAAATAAAAAATTTCAACATGAATTTCAAAGGAAATAATCCATATTTGAACTAAAGCATCAGGGGGAATCAAAACTTTTCTTTTAATATCCAGTGAATAATTTTATTCTCTCTTCTGTCATAGTTATAAAACTAGAGGTGAAATACATATTGGCAATCTTGACCCATTTTAGAGTTGTCACTATTCAAAAACTTCCCCCATATATTCAGACTCTTCAAATCATTAATCACTCAAATCATCAGAAATATCATAACTGAATAACATTTATTTTGATGTGATACAATTCCTCAGGATCTAAGAAATCCATCTGATTTTGTATTTTATCAAAGACTTTGAGGTGATAATTAAACCCATGAATGACCTGGTTAACTAGTACTAACTTTTTCTATGCAAGTAATCTTTCCTACTCTGACAATTTGGTCTTCCTGAGTCAATAACTACAATACCATTATATTTCCATTTTCTAGATTATCACCTGTCAATTAGCCTTGTATAGCTCAATTTCTGGATATTTTTATCTCTACTTGAATTTATTTTTAACTTAAAATGTTTCTTAACCTTATTTCTATCCTCTGAAGTAAAAAAAATTAAACATTTTAAAATGAGTTGAAATAAAGTCATTTAGAAGGAATTAGTGGAAAATTATGTACACAGTGGTTGGGTGGTTATTAATGTAATCTTCTCCCATGTTTTTTACTCACAAAATTTCATAGAATAATCTTAAACTAAGGTTTTACTTAGTTTGCTTAAGCATAGTTCATGAAACTTAATGAAAGATTCAGCCACATAATGTAGTAATTATTTGTATGACAGAAATAAATTTAAAAGAAATTTAAGTGTCATTTAAATAAATTTGTACTGTTAAATATAGAAAAATTTCTAATCTCTGAAGGCATGTCTAATTCTGGTTTCTTCTTAGTAAAGGAGGTGCATCTCATTCTACTATAGAATGAATGAAGGAAATTTATTTTAAATCTTAAACTGTTTTAGATGGATTAAAAACTTGAATTCTATCTAGAAGCATCTTTTATGTTCATTTAGATTATAAAGTAGCTAGAAAGTTTATATTGACTTTGCTCTATGAAATCATATTCCCTTTGAGAAAACTGATGTATTTTAGTTGCTGTAGAATAGTGTGAGTTACATTTTCATTGAGTGAATGTGAAACACAGAAAGAAAGAATCCAGACAGGCATGGTGGCACATGCTGTAATCCCTGTGACTCTGGAGGCTGAGGCCAGAAGATTACAAGATCGGTGGCAGCCTCAGCAACTTAGTGAGGCCCTAAGCAACTTAGCAAGACCCTGTCTTAATAACAATAAAAAATTAAAAAGGGTGAAAGGGCTAGGGATGTGTTTCAGTGTAAAGTGCCTGTGGATTCAATTCCCAGTCGAGAGGGAGGGAGGGAGGGAGAGAGAGAGAGAGAGAGAGAGAGAGAGAGAGAGAGAAACCAATTTAATTTTGTGCAATATATAGATTTAATGGAGTACTCTTCAAAATACCAATGAAAGTCTTCACAGAACTAGAAAAAAAGTCTTAAAATTAATTTGAAAGTATAAGTAACCCAAAATAACCAAAGTAATTATAAACCAGAAAAGCAATGCTAGAGATATCACAATACCTGACTTCAAATTATACTACAGAGCTGTAGTACAAAAATATCATGCTGGCATGAAACAGATACATAGACAAATGGTGCAGAATAGAAAACACAAAGACAAACCCACACATAGTCATCTGATCCTTGACAAAGGTGCCAAAAACAGACATTGGAGAAAAGAAAATCTTTGTAAACAAAGTATCCTGGGAAAACTGGTTATGTATATGTAGAAGGATGAGGCTAATTCCTATCTCTCACCTCACACAGAAGTCAACTCAAAATGGATCAAAGATCTAAGAATTAAGCCAGGAACTATGCAGCTCCTTGAAGAAAACATAGGGTCAATACTCCAGCATATAGATAAAGGCAACAACGTTCTTAACAGGATATCTAAAACATCGGGAAATAATGTCAGGACTTGATAAATGGGATGGCACCAAATTAAAAAGTTCCTGGACAGCAAAGGAAACAATTAAGAATGTGAACAGAGAAACTAGAGAATGATAGAAAATCTTTGCTAGCTACTCTCCTGACAGAGGTTTAATATCCAGAATATATAAAGAACTTTTAAAATGTAACACCAAAACAATAACAATAAAAATATAAGAAATAAAAATGACCAAAAAATACATGAAAAATTGTTCAACCCTGTTAGTAATTAGGGAAATTTAAATCAAAACTGCTTGAAGATTTCATATCACTCCAGTTAAAATGGCAACTATCAAGAATACCAACAATAATAAATGCTGGAGCAGATGTATAGAAAAAGGAACATTTTTCTACTCTCAGTGGAATTATAAATTAGTACAATCACTATAGAAATCAGTATAAGGTTCCTCAAAAGACTAGGCATGGAGCTATTAGCTATACCATGCCTCAGTATTAATTCCTAAAGAATTAAAGTCAGCATACTGAAGCAGCATATGCATACCCATTTTGACACAGCATAATTTACAATAGCTGGACTATAAACCAGCCTATGTGTCTGTCATTAAATGTCTGGATAAAGAAAATATATATACACAATGGGGTTTTATTCACCATAAAGAAGAATGAAATTATTTCTATCATCTGCAGGAAAATGAATGGAACTTGAGAACATTATGTTAACCTTTTTAGCCAAACTCAGAAAATCAACAATTATATATTTTATCTCATATAGATACTTGAGAAAAAAAAGGAGAAGAAACTTGGCGGTGGCAGGTGGGTAGGCTGTCATGAAAACTGAAGGGAGATCATTAGAGTGAATGAAAGGGTCAGAGAGAGGGAGGAGGGAAGGGAAAGGAGATATATACTGGGAAATGATAGTATTCAAATTAAATTGTTATATAGAATGCATATATAAATATGAAAGGAATCCCACCATATCTGCAGTTATAATGCATGAATAAAAAAATAGAAAAAAATAAATCAAGAACAGCACCAAAAATTTTATTTTCTGATTTTTTTTTTTTTTTTAATTAAGGAGCGTTACATAATCTTCATGGAGAATGGTAATCATTGCAATTAGACTAGGGAAAAAAGCAGGAAATAGGTCTTCCCAGGAACTACTGATTTGTTTTTTAATACCAACAAGTTGATTTAAGAGAAAAATTTTATATATTCACTTCAAAGGTATTCATAATATAAGAGAAAACACATGGTTAACTGCATTACTGACTTTGTATGTATTTAAGCAACTGCATTTTAGGGATAACACAGTCACTTCATAAATACCACAATATTGAGTATGTATAAGTTATAATGTTATGTTAAAATAAAATGTTTTAAAGAACTATTCAATAATAAACTAATTAAGGGTGTTGCAATGAGAGGAAAATTGGAATAGAGAGAGTAATAAGTTTAAGTCAAATTTCTATTCCAGTTATCATAAAAACAGAAGTGAACAAAAAATTCTAGTAATGCAAATGAAAATGAACTTTAAGAGGTGGATGACATCTTGAAATATTTTATATAAATTTATATTTCTTACTACCAATAGCTCACAGTACTATGAATGACACTGATGTCCCTATGGAAACAACTGAATGCATTCAAGGGCAAGGAGAAGGTTATAGGGGAACCATCAATACCATTTGGAATGGAATTCCATGTCAACGTTGGGATTCTCAATATCCTCACCAGCATGACATAACTCCTGAAAATTTCAAGTGCAAGTAAGTAAATTAGACAAATGTTATAAATTTTAGCAGACTCTGAGGGAAAATATGGCAGAATAATTACTTTTTACTAATATCTGTGTCAGCAATCCTCTAACAATATTGTGCCCAAGTATAATCAGTAGTAAAGTGGGAGAGTAGTCTGCTATTCAGAGTTTTGAATCTCTTTAGTCTGAAACTTGACCTCACATGATCATTTAAAAAAGCCTACTAGGTAATACTGATTCAGAATGTTGAAGGACTATGTTTACGCACCCATCTCTAGGTTTTTCCAGGTCACAGTTTTGCTCTTGAAGTTCTATTTAATAAATCAATTAGTGGTAATGATAACCATGCATGTTTCAAACTAGTGCCTTCTTAAATTTTTTTTTAAGAGAGAGAGAGAATTTTGGTATTTATTTTTTTTAGTTTTCGGCAGACACAACATCTTTGTTTGTATGTGGTGCTGAGGATCGAACCCGGACTGCACGCATGCCAGGCGAGCACGCTACCGCTTGAGCCACATCCTCAGCCCTTAAATTTTATATCAGCTTAAGGGATGGGCATTACATATGTTTTTCTCTTACAAGAGAGGCATACTTGATTTAGGTCAGCACTTCAAATGTTAAAGTTTATAGCATAAAGATCTGTGAAAAGTATTTTTAATAGCTTAAATGAAGGTTATCAATTGTTTCTGGACTTGTGAAAAGTGAAGTGAAACAAGAGTTAAGATGAATTAAGCAAAGAAACTGGCCTAGGATATCAATTATATAGTTGTTAAGTGCATTCTCTATGGTGCATTTGGTTTCACCACTCAGTTTTTGCTGGACAGACACAGCCACATGCCATCTGTTTTTAAATTGTCCACCTTGCTATGAGGAATGTAAAATGATTGCTTTTGGAATTTATAACACACATGTCACTCATGATGGCTTTGCTGAAATAGCACCTATAAATAACATATATTAACTTTATGTAATTGACTTTTAATAAGATAGCCAAACATTGCAGGATGACGAACTTTGAGAATTAATGGTTCATCCACTGGAGAGAAAAATATTTATGTATGTGTACGTGTTTTTTTTTTGTGTGTGTGTGTGTTAACTTATTCAGCAATTTGTTCAGATAGTAAATATCCATGTGCTGCAATTTTTTGAATTATTTTATAATAACAAAATTTATAGTTGTCATTATGATTTTATTTCTCTCATTTCCTTCAGAGCAATTCATCTTTTATTTCTGACCCATGTGTTTTACCACTCATAAATAAATATCAAAGTAAAGAAAGCAAAGGAAATGATAAAAGATTAGCTAAAAGGCACAAAAGGCGGCAGTGTTGGAGCCATTCACACTAGTTAACATTTAATCACTGGCAATACCCAAAGAAGAAGTTGTGTATGTACAAGTACCCAATGAATTTTGTCTTAAGAAAAAAAGAATGATTCTAGGAACTGAACTCATAGACTTCCCAATTAAAAACTAATTCTCAAAAAAGTATAACTGTTATGTCTTACTGTAATTTAAATCATTTTTTATTAATTCAGGTATTTGGCTAGAAAAACTAAACATAAACATCAAAAAACAAAGTATGAGGTGTGTTATTCTACTGTAAAAATGAAACTCAACATTTTGCTCAGAATAATTTTACTATCTGTGACCTAGCATAAAGGGGAATGCTGACCAGGTGTCTCCATTTCTATTAAACACTGTCTGTCCTAATTCTGAAATTCCATACAAATGATAATTTTGAAGATCTATAACTACATTTATAACCATAGCTAAATAATACTGCCTGTAATGAATCTCATAGATTTGAATTCACTTTATTTATTGTAAATAATTCTTTCTGCAAGTGAAATAAAAAATCTTGGGGAAAATATTGGGACAAACCTTTACTTTCATTTTTCTTTAATCTAGGCTAATAAAGTACTTCCAAATATAGATTCTATAAGTGGTCCCAAACTAAGAATTTTGATGTCAATATTAACTTAATTATCTTGCCTTAAATTAAAAATATAAAATAATTTAGCTCAGAAATTCTTTATATAATATTGCAAATTAGAACAAATTTTATGTAAAATTTAATGTGTATATTTCATATGAACATAATTTTTTAAAATATAAGTACACAATGGTTTGAAGAAAATAAAGGGTTTCTTGATCTTAGTTAATAGTTTCTTAAAAAGTCTAAAGATTTGAATATGGATTATCATGTAAACATTTCCTATATAATAGCTTTAACTATTGACAAACATTATCTTCAACCCTTTAACAACATAGTTTTTGTCAAGACCTACTTTGACAAGATAGAATATGATTTATTGATTTTCTTAGCAAATGGAAGTTCCTTCCTTAGAACCTTTTTAGTTTCTGTTGGTCAATTTGGGTATTAATTAAACTGTAGTACTTTGAATTGGACCTATGAAATACAAACACTAATAGTTTTAATATTGATTTAATTAAAATAATTTCCCAGGAATTGATAAAAGAAAATATATTCTTGTTTAAAAATAGCATATTTCAGGAAAACAAATAATAAATTCTACATTTTATTTAATGTGAAGTTTATATTAAGAGAGAAAGCCACTAAAATCCTTTTTAGTATTGAGAATATTAGCATGAATTTTTTTACAAGGAACTCTAAATACTGATACAAGATGCACATGTACTATACTGATTACTTGCTGTATTGTTAGTTTTCTGAACTATAACTAGAGATTAATTTTCTCAAAATGTTTATAAATATTTTGGTAATCTCTAAATCAAGAAAGAACTATTTTGTTATTAAACTGTATCTATTCAGCAAATTAAAAACATCAAAGAAATACAGAATTAAAGGAAACAGCTATCAGATTTTTTTTTGTGTGAAATGTTATAGTTTGCGCTTCCATTTTAAAGAAGAGTAGTTAATAACTATTAATAACTTTTCTTCAGTAGAGAGAGATACATTTTGTTTCTATATTACATATGCTCCATGGAAATGTAATAAACAAGAGAACAGTGTTTTGAAATGGTACCAGTAAAGAGTACAAACCCTGAGGATCAGTAACAGGAATATAGAGGGGCTGCTCTTCTCTTTCTTGAAGCAGTAATGTTTTTGTGGAACTCCAGGCATGTAGGGGAAAGAACAACTGACATCTGACAGCACTTATTTCAGTAATTTGGGCAATGTCAGTTGTGTATGCTGAATTCAAAATGCCACGATTATCCCAAGTCCATAAACTTAGAATTCTATTTGTAAACATGCATACGTTCTGGGCCTCTAGAAATTTAACAGCATTAAGGTTATTGATGTAAGAACTCAGACAATTTATATTACCATGCTTATTCTTAATAGGGACCTACGAGAAAATTATTGCCGAAATCCAGATGGGGCTGAGTCACCCTGGTGTTTTACCACTGATCCAAACATCCGAGTTGGCTACTGCTCCCAAATTCCAAAATGTGACGTGTCAAGTGGACAAGGTAATAAGTGACAATTTGCAGTGTGGGCATGATTAAATTCAGAGGACATGCCTAAGGGAGAGTACATTTTATAGCAGAAGATCCTGTTCTTTTTGCACTGTTCTTGCTGGTTAGCCAGGAGGATCACCAAGTCTGAAGTTGGATTTATTTTATATATTCATTGACTTACCCTATATTTGCTTATTTATGTGAGTGCTGGACACAATTCTAGACCCTGGAGATGTAGCAGTGAATAAACTAAATTATCTGACCCCAAAGAACTACTTCCTAACAGACAGAAAACATGTGCCTCCCCCCGCCCCCCGCCCCGCAAAAAAAAAGATGTGGTACTGCTTTCCTAAGTGTCTGGTAAGTGATAGAAGGATCTTCAGCCTAGAGCTAGAAAAGGGAGGTGATTTTTATATTTTAATGGTCAGGAAGATGTCAGGTATTAAGATAACCTTTAAGAAGGGCAGAAGGAAGTGAGGAAGCAGTATATGTCATGTGTAAATATATGTACAGACCATTCTAGGAAAGGAAACCATAATTGCAAATGGCATGAGATGAGGGAGTGCTTGAAAAGTTAAAGGAAATACAATAAGAACATCACTATGGCTGGCACAGAATGAGAAAGACAGAGAGCAGGGAGAGATGAAGTTGTAAAGGCTGTTGTGTTAAAATTCCATTGGTCTTGTAGAACTTGGAAGGATTTGCATTTTTATTCCAAAAGGAAGGGGACTGTGTTGGAGTGCTCTGAAAGGTCATGTGATCCAACTTAAGTTTTATCTGGATCACTCTGTCTATTATAAAATAGCCAGAATCCTTGACATGGGTTAAAACAGGAGAACAAAAGAATTAGGTGTTTCAATAGATGAAAGTGACTTGGTCCTGAGTGTTAGCAGTAGAGATGATGTGTAGTAGTGGGATTTGGGATAAATAACCATTGTAATTGAAAACATAGGTGCTCTGAAGATAACTGTTTCAGGGAACAATTGAAAAGTCATTTTGAAATTGGTTTAAAAAGAAATAATCTGTTAATGATTACTAATGCTGAACATTTGAAATTTGTTGGTATATAAGTTGAAAATCACGATTTTTAAGTGATCATACTCTATTTCACAAAATTTAAAAATGATGCTTATGGTCTTGGTCAGGTCCTAAATCATCCTAAAAGAACCTGAGCGTAACATATACTCCATTTCATGCATGTATCTTCTATCCTTTAACTTATCCTCCAATACCATTGTTCTTGACCAATTCTGAAAATAGAGTTGTAGAGACAAGAGGGGATAAGTCCCTTTTCAGTCAATTTCACTATTCTTTGGCAGACTTTAAAGGTCATTTGGAAATAATGTGGAAACCAGTAATTAAAGAACATTTGGTACGAGCTGAGCCTCCTTGTCTCTTTCACATGAGCAATTATCGATAATTTGTGAGTGACTGAAAAAATTAGAATATTTTTATAAGCTTCTGGTGTGTATTAAAATGTTTTTATATACATATATGTCACTTACAAATGGATCAGGTAATAGAATATAGTAATTTTGGATGTTAGGCAGATGTTATTGTTTATCTAGTAAATCTATTCAATAACAGATTAAAATTAGTTTTATGAAATTGAAATAATTTTTCCAGATTTCACACTGGCACAGCTGGTATTGAATCTGACTCTCCTTATAATGTCTTCTTCTTATTATTCTCTGTTTTCTCCCTTTCATTCATTTTTTTAACAGTATACCTGATCAACACAAATGTGCTAGACTCTGTAGGGTACACTCTGTGGAGAACATACACACCTGTGACTTAGGAAACTGTTAGACATTCAGCTGTGAAATTTTAACTGACTGTTATACCATTGTATGGTACACTATCAAGCTAACGTTAGCATTATTATCCATCTATCCATCATATATATTTTCTTCTTTCTGTATACAGGAATTGATCCAGCATATACATATATAAAATGATATTGCTCTTATACCTCTCTGAGGAACAGGAAATATAAATTTCACATAGAGTATAATGAGTTGGAAACCTATTTTCAAATATCTGGATTAGAATGTATACAAATTGCCTTTCCATTTGGATATTAGATAACTATTAAAAGAAAACAAAAAATTGAAATTGTAGAATTTTTAAAATGTTGTTAAAACTATACTTGTTACATGTTATATTATATAATACACACTTAAATAAGTAAAAGAAAAATTGTAGGGGCTGGGTTTGTGGCTCAGTGGTAGAGTGTTTGTCTAGCACATGTGAGGCACTGGGTTCTAACCTCAGGACCATATAAAAATAAACAAATAAAATCAAGGCATTGTGTCTATCTACAACTCAAAAAATATTTCAAAATAAAAATCATAGCTTTAAGTATTTATATCAATATCATGTAATAATTAAATTAAGTGGATTTCTAACTAAAAGAGCTGAGGCAAAAGTAAACTAAGAGAAACAAGAAATAGCGATGGAAAAGGAAATATCACCATAGACACTACTGAAATACAGATAATAATCAGAAACTATTTTGAAAATCTATACTCCAACAAAATAGAGAATCATGATGACATCAATAAATTTCTAGAGATATTTGACCTACCCAACCTGAACCAGGAAGACAAATAAAATTTAAACAGAACAGTTTCAAGCAATGAAATTGAAGACGCCATCAAAAGCCTACCAAAAAAAAGAGAGGCTCAGGACCAGATGGAGTCTCAGCCAAGTTCTACCAGATCTTCAAAGAAGAACTTACACCCAAACTCCTCAAATTATTCCATGAAATAGAAAATCAGGGAACTCTTCCAAACTTGTTCTATGAAGCTAGTATCAATCTCATACCAAAAACCAGACAGAGAAACATCAATGAAAGAAAAATTAAAACCAAGATGCCTCATGAACATAGATGCAAAAATTCTTAATAAACTCCTGGCAAATCACATACAAAAACATATTTGAAAGATAGTGCACCATGATCAATGTGGGGTTCATTCCAGGGATACAAGGTGGGTCAACATAATAATCAACAGATTTAAAGACAAGAACCACATGATTAACTCAATAGATGCAGAAAAAGCATTTGACAAAATTCATCATCCATTCATTCTCAAAACACTAGAAAAAAAAGATGGCATAGTATTAGCACTAAAGCAGACATGCAGATCAAAGGTACAGAATAGAAGACAAAGAGAAGAACCCATATAAATATAGTTATCTCATACTAGACAAAGGAACCAAAAACATACATTGGAGAAAAGAAATGCTAGGAAAACTGGAAATCCATATGTAATAGATTGAAATTGAAATCCTATATCTAACCCTAAACAAAACTCAACTCAAAGTGGATCAATGACTTTGGCTTTAGACAAGAGACCCTGTGTGTACTAGAATAAAAACTCTCTATCATATTGGCTCAGGAACAGACTTCCTCAACAAGAATCCTAAATCACAAGAAGTAAAATCAAGAATCAATAAATGGGATGGCATCAAACTAAAAAACTTCTTCACAGAAAAGGAAACAATCAAGAACATAAACAGAGAGTCTACATAATGGGAGAAAATCTTTACCACCTGTATCTCAGAGCATTAATCTCTAGGATATACAAAGAACTCAAAAATCTTAAAAAACCGAACAACCCAATCAATAAATGGGCAAAGGAACTGAACATGAATCGCACAGAAAAAGAAAAACAAATAGTCAAAAATACATGAAAAAATGTTCAAGATCTCTAGCAATTCGAGAAATATAAATTAAAATTACACTCAGATTTCATCTCACTGCAGTCAGAATAGTAATTATCAAGAATACAAGTAACAATAAATGCTGGGGAGGATGTGAGGTAAAACGTTCACTCATACATTGCTGGTGGAACCACTCTGGAAAGCAATATGGAGATTCCATAGAAAACTTAGAATGGAACCACCATTTGACCCAGTTATCCCACTCCTTGGCTTATATCCAAAGGACTTAAAATCAGCATACTATAATGATGCAGCCACATCAATATTTATAGAAGCTGAATTCACAATAGCCAAGCTTTGGAAAGAAACTAGGTGCCCTTCAACAGATGAATGGATAAAGAAAATATGGTATATATACAGAATAGAATATTACTCAGCTATGAAGAAGAATGAAATTATGGCATTTGCTGGTAAGTGGATGGAGCTGGAGAATATCATGCTAAATGAAATAAGCCAATCCCAAATAAACAAAGGTTGAATGTTCTCTCTGACATGTGGATGCTAACCCATAAAAAGGGAAGGTAGGTAGGGAAAGTATAGATGTTCATTGGATTAGACAAATGGAATTAAGGGAAGGGAGGGAGGATGGGAATGGGAAAAACAGTAGAATGAATATCAGACATAACTTTACTATGCTCATATAAGAATACACAACCAGTGTAACTCCACATCATGTTCCACCACAAGAACGTGATCAAAATTGTAATGGGTTGCACCCCATGTATGTATAATATGTCAAAATACACCCTACTTTCATGTATATCTAAGGAAAAACATAAAATAAGTCATTAACAAAGGTGAGAAAAGGCAAAGGATAAAACAAATAAATAATTTAAAAGGATGATTTTTTAAAAACAATTAACAAAATAGACAACCAATAGCTAAGTGACTCAAGAAAGAGAAAGCCATGTGTCAGGCTGCATGCCTGTAATGCCAGCAGTTTGGTAGGCTGAGCAGGAGTATCATGAGTTCAAAGCCAGTCTCAACAACTTAGCAAGGCCCAAAGCAATTCAGTGAGACCCTGTCTCAAAATAAAGTAAAATAAAATAAAATAGGGCTGGGAGTTTAGCTCTCAGCCTTTGGATTCAATCCCTGGAACCAAAAGAGAGAGAGAGAGGGGTGGGGGGGAGAGGGGAAAGGGAGAGAGAAAAACCAAACTATACAAAATAATAATTATTTAAGGATAAATAACAACAAATAAGAAAATTCGAAAGCATAAAGTCTACTTTATACTACTTCATGCAAAATCTTTTTTAAAATGGGTTCTTTACTAGGAAAAATCAAATGATTTAACCCTGGTACAGAAAAAAAGCATAAGTAAATTCATACCTTTAGAAAAAATAAATTTTAAAAAGAGCTATTGTGTCAGAAATACACCATGACCAGAAATACTCAGATAATCCCAATGCTATACATGCCCCCAAATCATGCAAAATGTAATAAAACTTCCAAATTATTTTTATGGTGCAGTGTAATTTTGATATCTAAACATGATAAAGATAACATGGAATAAAAACAATTATAAACCTATCTTATTTGCAGATTTTAATATAAAAATTTTAAGTCAAATTTGAATGAGTAGTCCAGTAAAGGAATTAGGATAATAATACATAATGATTGAATGGAATTCAAGAATACAAAAGTGGTTCCATATTAGAAATGATTAATTCATCTAGATGAAGAAAAACAATCATATCATAAATGTCAATATTTTCTAAAATTCCAATGATAAAGTTATCCTATTTCTCATACAAGTATACAATTAAGTCAGAATTTTGGGGTTTTATAAGATGTACATATGTGTGTATATGTGTGTGTATGTACAAACATATATGTATAACCATGAATGTATTTATTTATACCTAGAGACTTCCTTAAAATACATATTCATGTTTTATTATACACATATACAGATATACACACCACATATATACTTCCATATCATATATTATATATATATACATATATTATATATATAATCTATATATATATAATATATAATATATAATAATCTATCTATCTATAATATATATATATAATAATCTATATATATATATATGTATCAGTCATAATGTCACCACTTAATAAGAAATTAGCTTTCCTACCAATATTAAAAAGAAAAGAAGTATTTCTAAAATCTATTACTATTTAACATAGCAAATATAATTTGACATTGTTTCTCTCTTTAACACTGCATTGCAGATGTTATTCTGAGCAATTAGACAAGAAACATATTGATTAGAAAGGACAAAGTAAAATATCTCTGTGAATTATGTTATACTACTATAACTGGTAAATGGAATTCAAACAGTAAAAAATTCACTAAGGTAAAAAGATATATAGTTAACATGTAAATATCACTAGCATTTATATATGAGCTTGCAGATTTAAGGAGAAAACTATGCTAGGAACAAAAATAATGAAAATTTAATCATAAGTTTAGAAAAAAATATACAAAATATATGTGATAAAAATTTGAAGTCATTTCTGAAAAAAAGCCATTAAAAGGTTCAACATGTGGAAAAATAAACCTTGTTCGTGATATAAGTTCAACATCTTAAATATATAATTCCTACCTCAACTGAAGTATACATTTAATGTAATACTAGTAATTTTTCTGATAATTCAATTAATTTATTCTAGCTTTCTCAACAAACTATTACGTAAGTATAATAAGGAATACCTTGAAAATGAAGATGAATCAGAGAGAATTAACCCTAACATTGAAATAAAATAATACATGGAATAGTGTTATTTTTAAAAATAGAAAAACGTTTTCAGAAGAACTTGATTTTTGTTGTTGTTGTTAAGAATATGGACACTTCCATCAATGTTTTATAGGATACAAATTGCTCAATGAAAAAAAAATAAAAATAAAACCTCTTGTGACATGGTAAGAGATACAGAAGTTAGTTCAGTGGCTTCCACTGGCTAAATGAACATTTCAAGAATCAAAAACTGATAACAGGAATGGATTATTTATAACATTGAATAAAAAGAGAATCCACAAGTCCACATTTATATTACTACTTCCATTAAAATAGTTAAAGTTATATTACTAATCTCTAAAGGAAAGGGGAAGAGAGAATCTTATTTTCAAAAGAATGACAATCTAAAAAATGTAAAGAAATAGAATTAGAAAAAAAATCATTTTTACAAAGAGCAAAGTAGCAACTGATTCACAAATATATGTTCAAATATGCCTCGGCCTTTTTGTGAATATCTGTTTGGTAATAGGATGTCATTCAGTTGCAAAAGCCTCAACAGAGTTTTTGTTGTTTTTAATATGAAGAGAAAGATTTTCCTTTATAACAAAATAATCAAAATGAGCATTGCATCCAGTGATGGACCAAACCAGCATCCTGTGTCACACACAGCCTGTAATGTTCTGAGAAGGACCAACCATCGCCTATGTAATCTTCCTGTCAAATATCATTAACTTGTTTTCACTCTTACAAAAACGAGCAGAAAGATTGAAATTGCAAAGCATTTATGGAACAGGTGTCTTGGGTGATTGAGAATGTCATGTCATGAAAAGCAAAAATCAAAACATAAGTGAAGTGATTGGTAAGATTCTCACCACATTATTCTTGCAAATTTTCTATGAAATCTAATTTTTTCAGAAGAAAATTCTGGGAAAAAATATGTCATTCTAGAAATTCTAATTTATTTGGTGTTCTAAAAGGATCACTTAATCTACTTTTTGGCTTATAATTATTTGGAAAATTTGAAATTACAGAAGCACTCATTTGAAGGAAGTAGAAACTGGGCTGAAAATAGAAACATTTTAATCTAAGGTAGTTCAGTCTCTTCAATTTGTGCAGACTTCAGGTTGCATAGTCTTAATATTTTGATTTTCACGATTTTATGTGGTGGTAAAATGTTGTTGTTTTATTCTCCATAATAGTCATTAACTTTCATTTTGTATGTTTTATGTCTAGATTGTTATCGTGGCAATGGAAAAAACTACATGGGCAATTTATCCAAAACAAGATTTGGACTCACGTGTTCAATGTGGGAGAAGAACATGGAAGACTTACATCGGTGTGTAAATTTCTTTCTTTCAGTATACTTCATTCAGTGATAATAGCATATATATATATGTGTGTGTGTGTGTATACACACACATATACACACATTATATAAATATATTTTCAGAAATACACAGTATTATTTCTTTTTATTCTTTTATCACAGTAAGTTAATAAAAATATTAGATTGATTTTTCTGTACAACTCATTACATTGTCTCTGCATGAAGCTAACTTTTAAATAGGCAGTTTAATCCTGGATATATTCATTCAGCATTCACTATATTTTATGCCGTATAATTGGTACTATGGGAACACCAACAAAAAGTGAATAAAACATTTGATTCTAAACTTCAAGGAGGATATGGTCACATTTAAAAACCAGCTTAAAAGATAGTGTATAATTAGTAGGCATATTTGGTGTTTCAAATAGTGCAAATCAATAGCAGTTTTTCAAAAATCATGTGATCATTGTCATATACATATTTACCTTAAATAACTACTTAAGTACTAAAAATTTATAGAAACAAAATTTCTTGCTTTAACATATGAAAGTTTGCAATAGTTACAGAAATGTGTATGTAATTTTTAAAGATCTATATATTTGAGAGAATCATATACTTTTTGTGGGCATTATTCACAAAGAGGGTAGTATTCACTCATGCCTAGAAATAGTGCTAATGTTTATTAAATTGTAAAAGAAGTATCTGACACATAGTTGAAACCTAAATCATTTTTTTAGTAAACATCCTAGAATATGTGCACTAGAATAGAAGAAAAAGAAAAAAAAATTAAGTTAGGGGCATTTGATCAAGTACCCAGAACACTGTTGCTTTATGTGAGCTGCTATGTCATTTGGCTACCATATTACTATACAGAAGATTTTTCTAAATGTGAATAAGAACTCAAAGTATTAGAGAACCTTTAATTCAGTTTTACTTTAATTTTAAAGAATTTTATTCTCTTCCAGAATGTATCGAGTAGTGGGTGACATTATTTTAGTTAATTTACTTCACAAATAAATATCGACAGTTCTAAAGCATTGCAAATATTAATATAATGCAACTCACAAATATGTCACATAAATAACATGTAAATTTCCTGATAGCCACTTTTAAAGAAGCAAAAATCATCAAAAATTAATATTAATGTATTTTATTTATATATGAAGTTCATTTCAATGTTTCCTACATGAAAATTATTAATGAGATCTTGAGATTCATTTTCATACTATATGTTCAAAATTTGATATATATCTTACACATATAGCACCCCTCTATTTAAGATAGCATATATCAGTTTCTCAGTGATATGTGACTAATAGCTGCTATATTGGACACTGTAGTTCTAGGACTTTAAAGATGATCAGCGTTCTGTCCCCATAGATTTCATGCTCTAATAGAGGATGCAAGCAAACAGGAACTGTTGGTACCATATTATAAAAAAATATGAATGAGCACATTTTATGCTGTGGGAATTTGGGGGAAATGCTGATCTAGACTGAAAACTGTCAGGAAGCCTTCCGAAGAGAAAGACATTAACTGGAGTATCCATCATGAGTAAGAGTTGGCCAAGGGAAATGCAGTAGGAAGAACTCATCACACAGCAAGTATAGTTTGTGCAAAGTCCCAAAGGTGAAAGCATTTGAAAACAGGAAATAATGTTGGTAAGGCCAAGAGTGTAATTTGGTCAATGTCCACAGAGAAAAAATTTTCCAGCAGCAATACCATATGAAGAAACATGAGTAAGATGAGTGAAGAAGTTTGATCTTTATCCTAAACATTAAAAGAATTCATTAAAGATGTTTAAGCAAAATTAACATGATTTAAATTAAATGCTGATTTTGACACTACTATTTTTATTGATTCATTATAATTATACATAAAAATGGGATTTATTCTGATACATTTGCACATGTGCAGAACATAATTTGGTTGATTTCTTTTCCTATTACCACCACTTAAGCATGATGTTCTCCAGTTCCATTCATTTTTCAGTAAATGGCATAATTTTATTCTTTAAGACTGCAAAAAACTACATTGTCCTTTATGATTGAAAAAACACACACATTTTTCTTTATCTATTCATCTGTTGATGAACACCTAGACTGGTTTCATGCCTGGGCTATTGCAAATTGTACTGCTATAAACATGTATCACTATAGTATGCCCGCTTTAGTGCTTTTGAATAAATACTAAGCAATAGTATAGCTGGGTCATATGGTCATTCCATTCCTAGTTTTTTGAAAAATCTTCATATTCATTTCCATAGTAATTATACTAATTTGCAGTCTCATCAACAATGTATAAAGAGCTCTCTGCATCCTCATCAACATTTATTATTATTATATTCTTGATTATTGATATTCTAACTGAGGAGAGATGAAATGTCAGTGTAGTTTTGATTTGCACTCCCTGATTGTTAAAGATGTTGAACATTTTGGACATTTGTAGTTCTTCTGTTTAGCAATATCTGTTTAGTTCATCTTTCTATTTATTGATTGTATTATTATTATTATTTTTCCTAGTGATGTCTTTTGAGTTCTTTATGTATTCTGGATATAAATCTTCTGTCCAAAGAATAGCTAGCAAAGAGTTTCTCCCATTCTATGACATATCACTTCATACTCTGGTCTGCTTCCTTTGCTGTATAGAAGCTTTTAAATTGGATGCTATCCCGTTTGTTTATACTTGATTGATTTCCTGAGCTTTAGGAGTCTTATTGAGGATGTCAATGCCTGTGCATATATGTTTGGAGTGTTGACCCTATGTTTTCTTCAGCAGTGGCAGAGCTTCTGACCTAATTCTGAGGTCTTTGATCTACTTTGATTTGACTTTTATGCAGGGTGAGAGATAGGAATCTAGTTTCATTCTGCTACAGATGGATATCCACTTTGTTTAAAAGTCTATCTTTTCTCCAATGTATGTTTTTGGCACTTTTGTAAGGATCAAATGATTGCATCTGTGTGGATTTGTCTTGTACCTTGTATTCTATTCTGTTTTTCTATGTGTCTGATTTTATGCCAGCACCCAGCTGTTTTTGTTACAATAGCTCTGTAGTATAATTTAAAATTAGGTATTGTGATGCCTCCAACATTGCTCTTTTTACTAAGAATTGCTAAGATTATTCTTGGTCTTTTTATCTTTCATATTTTTTCTCTAATTCCGTGAAGCATGTTATTGGTATTTTGATGGGGATTGTATTGGATCTTTAGACTGCTTTTGATAATATGTCCATTTTAACAAGATACATTCTGCCTGTCATATAATCTTTCTTCATTGCTCTATAAATTTCATTATAAATGTTTTACCTCCTTGGTTAGATTTATTCATAGATATATATTTTAGTTTTAAAGCATTTTTAGTAATGGTAATGGCCAGTGGTGGGTGGATTAGATCTAACTCTTATGGATTTTTTTTTTTTGTACCAGAGATTGAACACAGGGGTGCTTAACCACTACTTAGTCACATCTCCAGCCCTTTTTAGGTTTTATTTTGAGACAGGGTCTCACCAAGTTCCTTAGGGCCTCACTTGGTTGCTAAAGCTGGCTCTGAACTTGGGATCCTCCTGCCTCAACCTCCTGAGCTGCTGGGATTTCAGGCACTTAACACCACATCAGATTTTTTATGAACTTTTGAAAGATAATAGTTTCTGTCTCTTCCCAACACTGTCTTCAGTGATTTTATATTGGAAGGTTGAATTTTTCATGGTGGAAGTATTTATGCCACAGAAATCAACAAGGCCTATAAATAAGGTCTCTCCCTTCCCAGTATACACATATCTTAGGGGACTACTTGTTAAATGTTTATGGCATGCTGCTAGAAATATGTGATATATTAATTTTGGGACCTTAATGCTAATAACTATTAAATCACTGAGTTTAGGCTTAATATTTGAAGTAGTTAAAAGTTATTTGAAAACAGTTTGTAGGAAATTTATGAATGATCAAGCTTTATGGTACCATTTTTGTTTTAAGAATAAATTATGCAAGGAGTAGGTAGAGCATGGTGATTTTGAGCATTGACTCTGGAAAGAGCCATAAGTTTAAATCCTAGCTCTGTTATTTACTATCCAAGTGACCTTAGAATAATTACTTGTCCTCTCTGCTTGTCAATTTCCTCAAATGAAATAGATATAGTCTTAAATCACATTTTGCAAGATTGGTCTAAGTTTATATCTGTAAATAACTTATAGCATAATGTGGCACACAGGAAAGCCTATATGTATTTGCTACAGCTATTGGCCAAAAAATGAAACTGGTTCTCGAAAAATAGTCCAAGTTTCCATATTAAAGCTCTTTCTAATTTAATTTCAAATCCCACATTAATTATATTCAAGAATAGTAGTCATTAATAACACAAAACAAATTCAGTTATAATTTTCATGACTTGGTCAGAGATGGCCAGGTAGGATTTGACCTCATTAGTGTTACTGAAGTGAATGTAAATACATACTAATATATATGGACATGGTCTTAGAAAATAACACAGAATTTTTTATTTTCTTTTGTAATAAATTTTCACACATTAATTTCAAAGGTTGATATGTTAATTGCCTGTTAGAAAATCATATTTTATAACCATATGGCCAGTAAAATTTTATAATTCAAACATTTCATTGGCACTTTATTAATTTTTATTATAATTCCCTGTTCTTTGGGGTTGTGATATTGCTAATGGTAATTCATATACAATTGAAACATGAAAAACTTTCAGAATAGCTTATACTTCCTAGGTATTTGATACTTTTGATCTTTGGATCTGTTTGCTTTTAGATGATATTTTTCTATTTCTAAACATGGAGGTATTTGTTACTTTGACACTATGATTATTAGATAGAAGTGAAATCACAAAACCCCTCATCATTTTATACAGGCAAATAATGGAGCACTTCACCACATTCTTAAGTTAGAATGTATGCTTACTAACTGTAAGAACAACAATGAAGGAAATCTCCAACAAAACAACTAAAATTCACACCAAGTAGAAGCTTATTTTATGTACAATCAGTGATATACTAGGATGATATATCTTGTATCTTTTGGATGGAATAAGCCTGTACTGATGTTCAGCTTTTTGTTTACCCAGTCACATCTTCTGGGAGCCAGATGCTAGTAAGCTGAATAAGAATTATTGCCGGAATCCTGATGATGATGCCCATGGACCCTGGTGTTACACGGGGAATCCTCTCATCCCTTGGGATTATTGCCCTATTTCCCGTTGTAAGTACATTTATTGTTCTTTTCTCAATTGAAATACTTTAAACGTACTGCGCACCCACTAATTTCCCAATCAGAGATGTAAATAATATAGGACTCAAGAGGGGAGCTTATCAGAGAGCAACAGAGAAGCACACATAGACACACACACCACACAGATGCTCTCTCTCTCTCTCTCTCTCTCTCTCACTCACACACACACACACACACACACACACACATACACACACACACACACACTTCTTCTATTCAAGAAGAAATTTGCTAAAATGTAAAATTTTTCTTTATTTTGAGAAAAATCCCCACTTGGAATCCAGAAGCAGTAAATGGTTATGAGTCTAACATGGCAGTATGGAAAGACCCATCCAGTCAGAGATGCCATAGTACCAGTTTAGTCTCTGAATATAGCAGAGCTCTCAGGAAATCCCTAGCCCAGTAAAAGTCCCAAGAGCAGACCTGAGGTAGTACTTCCATCTCTTAATCAGTTTTTTAACCCAAAATTGAAAAGTATAGAACTTTCTACCCACTTCTTTTAGTCCGACATGGTTTTGTTAAAAGGGTATTAGTGCATGAAATAAAAGGTAGATGTAAAATATTTAATACATGTTTGATCTACTTCATATAAAATTTGAAGTCATATATTTCACATATATAGCTCTTATATAACACCAAGAAAAAGATGTGAGAGAAAATAATGCAGAAAATGAATCTTTAAGAATAAATATAGTTAATGAACAAATGAAAAGATGTTAAAACTAGTAAGGGAAAAACAAAATTTAAAGAGCATGGGAAATGATTTCTGCTTATCAGATTGTCAAATAATAAAATGATTGTTAACATTAGTGGAAGCTTGGGTAGTCACACTTTCTCAATACTATGCTACTTTGAGAATATTGAAAATCCTGTATGGAAGTAATTTGGAAGGTTGTATTAAAAGTAATAATAGAGATGTGAACCAGGAATTTTCTACTTTTGCACTGCTAACATCTGGGTTAGGATAATTCTTTATCCTAGGAGTCTCTTTTGTGCACTATAGGAAGTTCAATAGTGCCCTAGCTTTTGCCCATTGGATGCCAGTAGCAACATTCTCCCCTCCCCCTACCCCACTACCCATCATAACAATAAAAATATCTCCAGACATTGCCAATGTTCCCGCCCCTCCAGGGGGCAGGCAAAATTACCCATTGAACTACACCGATTTATTAACATGTATTCTTCATAATAATAAATAATGAAACACCTTATATATTTGCAAATAAATGGTATTTCCTGTTATATTTTATTTCATCAACTAAAACCATAATCCTTCAAATTATAGTGTTTTCCTAATGTTCTGCTTCTGTTCCCATATGAAAGGTTTGCATAGATATTCAAAATATTCTTCTGGGGAAGATGTCTTCCAAGTTCTAACACTAAAACAGAAAAACAAATGAAAAAACAAGTCTACCTCTCCAGAGAATACCATATACAAATATTTTTGCATGATTAAAGGATTATTATTGTTATTAATATTATTATTATTATTAGGGTCCTAGGGATCAAATCCAATGCCTATCAGCATGATAGGCAAATACTCTATTTCTGAGCAACATCCCAGCTCAGCTAAATTCTAGTTTTACCTTACTGTACCTTTTGTGATGTCTCCATGACTAGGAACAATGGAGTCACACAGACTATAGAGTGATTGAGGAAGAATGAAAAAAATGATCCACCTTCTAAAACAGGTTATATTGCTGTCCTAAGTGAATTTCTAATTATAAAAATCACAGCACATATCTATTGTCAGGTGTAAAAGGCTCTGGTAGGATCTCAGAGCCCTGGGACTAGTTTATAAACTTAACTAAGGGAAACAGCATTCTAATAATTTTGAAGGTTCAAAAAACTTTTTAAACAGCATTTTCAAAAATAAAAGGCACTAATGTGCTGTTGAAAGACTTCAGGGTGTTGTATTTGATTAAATGCTATTGCAGATAACTCATTTTTATTTCAAAGTGTACTGAACATTAATTTCAATAAATATTTTTGCACTGTCATTGATTCAAGTAATATTTATAGCTAGGATTTATTTACATTTTTCTCTCTGGTGAAAGGCTAATGAAATTTATCTTTAGAAGATTTGAGTTATTATTATTTATTTAACTTCAGAGACTGTATTAATCATTTTCACACTGTACATTTCTCTCACAAAACATGTAAAGGTTTTTAGTCATTTTATTAAAAAATACTTATAAAATTTTACAAAATAATGTTTAACATATTTTAAAGCTTATCAAATGTGCAAAAATAAAATGTAGAAATGCTTTATGTTTGTTTACACACACACACACACACACACACACACTTTAGAATGTCTTAGCAAAATCTTAAGCATTTATGGCAGAGAATGTAATGGTTATGAGTTTCAATTCAGATTACCTGAGTAAGAGTCCCAGTCTTGGGCAAATTACTTAGCCTACTTATGACTCATTCTGTATTTGTAAAAATGTGCAATAAATGCACCTATCTTATTGGGCTATTGCATATAACATCTATTGCATAGTAAGGACTTAAAAACTTAATTTCTGTTTTTATTTGTTCATTTGTTCATAATTTAAAATGAACTACTATTGTATACAAAGCCCTATAAAATATGTTATGCATACAAAAACATACACACAGTTTCTTAATCTCAAATGCTTTATAGCATAGAGAAGAAACAGTCATATAAACAATTGCAAAGCCATATAATCACGTAGTAAATATATATTGATATATAAAATAAGAATGAACTTCGTTGTCTGCTGGAGAAATATGTAATCTTCATCAAGTTTTGAATGAGAATTAAAAGTTTGAAAATATACTGAAAGAAAGCTTTATGTTTTCCATAAGTGTGTAAATTTAGTTCTGAGGCATAAAGATTCATACACACACACACACATACACACACACACACACACCTGCTTTTCCATAGGTAAAACTCTTATCATACATATGTTTTTTAATCAAATTTTAGTTGAACTGATAAAAATAAGATTTATATCACATGTGTTTTTCTTGCATGAGTAATGTGGTAGAGACAAGGGGGGGAAGTAAATAAGGTGGAGTGAGGATAATATTTGGAAGTGAAATGAAGAAGGCCTGGAGATCAGCATCACAAAGTTTTGTCCCATGTGTATGCCAGAAGAACCTGTGGTGCTCCTTAAAACCTCAGAAGCCCAGAATCTCCAGAAATCTGGTTTTAAATGGCATTTCAGTTTATTCTAAAGTGTGAGAAATATTGGATTATTAATAATTTTATTATTATTAGTTTTATTCGTTATTATTATTATTATCGAACTATTAATTGTTAAACACCAAATTTGTAATATCTACAAAAGTTTAAAATTTTAAATATTTTAGGAAGATAAAATAATGAACTGATCAATTTCTGACATAATAGCCTCAATCCTTAAAAATAGAAGGCTTCATAGGCAGTGAAGGATAGAATGAATAGTATAATCTTTTTCATTATTATAACGAATAAATATCTAGTTATTTAAAAATTTCAACCAATTGTCTTGAGTGAAAAAGCCAACATACTTGATGCTCTAATATACTCTGCCTCAATCCTACTTTGTACTGTGACCTGAAACCCTGACCTCAGCTGACTCTACCACAACATTTCCCCAGGATAAGGAAAAGGAAAGGAAAGGAAAGAAATTTATGTTTGCCTTTACCTTTATTCATTTAAAATGCTTAGATTTGAAAAAAATGAACATAAATAAAAACTGTTTAGCATGAATTAATTCCCGTGAGCATCCTAATACACAATAATCAATTTCCATCTCTTCCTCCATTATTGTTTTGTTGCAGGTTTATTTGAGTCCAGGGTATTTACATGAATTAAGAACCAGCTGGATGTAGATGGTGCCTGACTGAACTCTGAGCCATCAATTCTGAACAGTTAGACATTAAGCTTTAGGAAATGTCTTGTGTTTCATTCATTATTCACAAGTTTTCCAAAATTCTAGCATCTTCTAAGCTTTTCTTTTTGCAGCAATTAAAACCCAGTGGAGAGATCACGAAGAAGAAAATTATGAAGATTTAGGTAGAATTAATAATGTATAGTTTCCATTATTTTTCTTTCTTTCCATACTTTAAAAAAAAATAACATCTGGGAAAAACAATCTTTGGAATATGCTAACAACAAAACAGTTTTTACTCCTCTTTCTAAGAGTGACATTGATTTCTTCTAGAATTTTTTTTTGCAGAGACTTCTGAAATATGGATAACATGTATAGTTTTAATTATTCTCAACCTTCAACTTTTTGAGGAAAAAAATTAAATAGCTTAAAATTACAGTAAAAACTAAATGTCCTATCTATCTGAAAGGCTCAAGAACAGTAAAGAGAAGTAATCCTATTAATGAAAGTCCATTGTGTATAACATTGAGCATCTTAGTAGAATGAGACAGCAGCTCTTTGAAGTTAGCAGTATAATTCAGTTTGCCAAAGGTCATCCAACTACACACCTGATGGCATCTGCAATCATAAAATAAGACTTTTCTCATATTAATGAGTGTCAGTAGTCACGTGCACACAAAATTGTCTAGTAAAAGTGATACAAAATTGCTCAATAAAATAATGTTACATTTTATCTTTTAATAAAATGCCAAGGATTTTGATAAATTCCCCAGTTCATCAAAACTGATTTTAATATATAGCTTTGGTTTTACATACAGAAATATGTATGAATCATATATGTTTCTAAATATTTATATCTACAGGTGAAGGGGATACCACACCTACAATAGTCAATTTAGACCGTAAGTATTCTTTCAAAATATAAACTATATATCTGAGTCTCTGTGTGAAACAAATGATGTCATTATTTCCTTTATAGAAAAAAATCTTATTACTATAACAACTTCCATCATAAAAATAAGTCAATCTGTTTGTTTTATTTTTAAATATGTATTTTCCTATATGTGGGTGGAAGATAGTCAAAGGCAACTGCATTCTAAATATGAAATTCAACTCAGAAAGTTTCCAAGATATTCCATTTGACTTTGAAAAGAAGACTTACATCTACTTTCAATTTGGGGCACAATGTGTCTAATGGAACACTTTTATAAACCTCACCTTCCAAATGAAGTCAGGGTGCTGAATTCAGAAAGAATGAAGTCAGGGACTTCATTTTGCAGGCCCTAGAGTCTATCAGGTAATAGGAGACACCATCTAAAAAGTTCAGTTTATCCTCAAAATAAGAATCTGTGGAAGCTACTTGCCTTAGATTTTTAGATATTTTTTGAACTGAAACAAGTTACTCAAGTGTTTTGTTTTAAAAGACCACCCTTCTGTGCTTCAGGAAAGGAAGCCAATGAAAATCTATTCTAGACCATGGACAGAGTACAAAGGATAAGACAAGGAACATAGAGGAGGGTTAGGCAAACGTTTACTCCAAAGAATTCTGAATTATGTCACTTGTACATAGTGATTTGGATATAAGAATACCATTTGGATATAATTTCAATAAATATAATGTTGGTAACATGTTTCAAAATAGCTCTACATTCTTACTGTACGAATTCATTACCAAATATGGTTTTGTTTTGTTTTCAATTAGGCTATTGATTGCTATTTAGAAATAACCATTGCAAATAACATTTTTTTATTCATTTTATATTAAGATTGGTATGGGGAATACATTTGTGTTGGGGCCACTGTCACTATAATGACAGTCCTGTCTGCCTTGAGTTCATTAGTTTTTCTAAGTCACTCAACAAAAAAGATGAGGATGGCAAATATTAGGGACTTGATTCTGAACTTTGGTCTTATAATACTCTTTTCCCAAAATGTCTTGATACAATTACAGTAGTTACATTTGTCTAGGTATTATTTCACTTATGAAAACTAACAGGCATTGATTATTGGAAAAATATTATCTTAAAATGTTATATTTGCCTTGTTTTCAGATCCTGTAATATCTTGTGCCAAAACAAAACAATTGAGAGTTGTAAATGGGATTCCAACACGAACAAATGTAGGATGGATGGTTAGTTTGAAATACAGGTAATTACTAATAGATACAAATCATATATATTCAATCTATTTGCAAAGCCAGATTCCCAGCTGTATGGTCACATGTGGTCATAAAGATTGTACCCTCCATAGGGCACTCAGCCAGGGAGGTCAATGAGGGGTCTGATCATATTCTTACCAAACTATAAGCACTGGATTTTGCAATTTTATTTCATTTTATTTATTTATTTGCTTTTAATTTTAATTATTTAAAATCATAGATAGCCTTCATAAATTTGTTCACAGAATTTCCATATGTGCAGCCATTATTCCTGATTCCAAGTAACACTTTAGTTTTGATTAATAAGAGTCAACCACAAGAACTTCTTATACCTTAATATTACCATAGTAATTATCTATCTCTTTAATTTTCTACTCTTGGGTATTATAATTTTATTTCCTAATATGTCTACATATAAACATCAGAAATATTTGTTTTGATTTTTTATTTTGTTATTGAAATGAAAAGTGATATTTTTAGAATTTGAGATTATGTTATTATGAGAAAGATAAACTCTTTTAAATAGTTGAATAGTCTAGATTTTCTAACAATTGGCGTGGCTAAGAATTTTAAATATTCTCAGTTCTCAGTGCTCTTAAGAGCCAATGACATGTTCTACATAGAATCATTTTGGAAGTTATATCATAATAGAAAATTAAGCTTAGGAATTATGCCACAAGAATTAAATGTTGAAAACATGAAATAACTTAAAATCTCATCTTATAACTTTCTATGTCCTATATACATTAGTCTATGTGTTTCTTAGAATGCTAAGATATCTATCTCCATCAGAACTTCATCATACAACTCACCCAAAATGAACCTGAATCCCAGCTACACTTTTCCTTGGAGCTTGAGACCCGCCATGTTTCTCCCTCCAAGCTTCCATGCACTTGTTCCTACTGCATGTTGTGGCCTTTTTCCTTCTGAAAATTCCTTCTCATTCTTCAGATCCCAACTTGAATATCTCCTCTTTCATGGACACTCGCCTTCACCCCTAGCCTCCTAGAGTAGAGCAAGTATCTATCTATCTCTTACTATACTAGGGATTTAGAATAAACACAACCTATATCTCTTACTACTACTATATATCTATATCTCTTACTACTACTAGGGATATAGAATAAACACTACCTCAAACTGAAGTCCATTTATGAAAAAATCAATTCTTGTCAAGCATGGGGTTTACACCCTTTGACTTTATGTCAACACAACATTGTGGGAGATGGCCTAAAGACTTTTTTCAGTATATCCTCTCAAGGACTAACTCATCAGACTTAATGTTAATGGCAGTAATTATGATGTAGCTCTCCTAGGCACGCAGTACTGAAATAGAATTATGAAGCTAACTAGAATAGAAAGGTGATTGAGCATTCTGATGATTTTATAAGCACCAAAATTTTTGAAGTGTTTAATTTTCTTTTTTTTATAGAAAAATGTTCTATAGAACATTTAATGCAAATTTAATTTTCTGTATCACAAAAAATGTTTTAAGATTCCAAATATCTTAATTAGATTAGTGATTCTTTGTTAACTCATAACCTCAGGAGGAAAAATATACATACTTCTGAATTATTTTTATCAACTGGAGCGTATACAAGGATACTCTTCTAGTATACTTCTCTTAGAGCCTGCAAGTGGAACTGTTTTAATTCAGAGTAACATCAATTTTAAAAATTTCTTTCTCTTAAAGTCCAAGTTCTTAGTAACTACAGCTGTTAACTTATTCTTCTAAAATATATACTGAGAAGATAGAAATTCAAACTCAATATATACTCTTATCCTCCTGTGTGGTAAAGGCCATAAATTACTGTGGTCTTAGTCTGGGAATCTTTTAGTATTACCCTCTGAAGCACTGAACATCTGTACTCTTTCGAAATGTGAATTGTGAAAAGTTGTACTTTTCCCATGTTTCTGCCAAAAAAAAAATGGATTTAAAGATTTTGGATATCAGCAAACAAACATCCTCATGCTTTTTCTTTACAAATATTTTGCAGTTTCCTAGAGTACTTGGTTTGCAAAATTAACTTCCTCTTACAAATTAAATATTATATTGATGGTCTTTTAGTAAACAATTTATTCAAACCCTGCAATATTTTAACCTATCAAAACTAAATGATGGTAGGGAATGAAATAGTATAAAAATGACAAATATTACTACCACTGGATGTCTTTTTCAGGGTTTCAAGAAAACCTCCAGTTTGCATTTTTCATAATCAAATTCTGAATTTAAAGCAGCTCCACATTTTTTCATTATAACCATTCTATATGCAGCACATAATTTCTCTCACAAGGATAGATATATATATACACATAGATGTATGTGTTGGTTCTTTAAACCATAAAATTGATTTAATGATATTGTAATTACATTATGAAAATAAAATTGTTGATGCTGCAATCCCCACATATCATCCTTTAGATAAAAGAACTGCTACTCATTTTAATTCAGTTGGGTTAATGTCTATATTTTTGCATTTATTTTTAACAAATAAAGCAACAGGTTTTACATTAACTGGTAGGCATTCTTTCTGCACAGACATTACTTGTTTCTCTTTCCTCTTTCTCACAGAAATAAACATATCTGCGGAGGATCATTGATAAAGGAAAGTTGGGTTCTTACTGCACGGCAATGTTTCCCTGCTAGGTAAAGTTTATTTTGCTTTAGTATATGTTCTGAGAATTTAAAAATATGTATGATTTCTGCTTAGCTTTTAAGTTTAGAGTCTATTTCACAGAGATGCTACAACATGGGGTAAACATATAGTCATTCTTTTTTAATTCAGCGTAAAAAACTTTGACTTCACTGATATTTTTGTATGCCATGCTACTTTCAGTTTACATCTTTTCATGATTAACGTTATTCTCACTTGGGAAAATATTTTCCTGAATTATGTAAATCAGTACTATTCCAACCTCCCAAGAATAGTTGGAATTTCTAGATAGAAATTATTTTTCTGAATTATCAACAACCTTTCTAAGTTCTCACTTCCTCTCATATGTACAGCCAGACTCACAATCACCCTGGGAATAATTTCAATGAAAATTAGCCTAAAGAAAAGGTAAGGAATTTAAAAAAAGATAAGGAAATAGCATTTATAATTTTTCCCAATTCATATCAAGGTCAATTTGATTTTGTTTGTTTGAAACTTCAATCCTTATAAATAAACCAAATGCATACACACTTCAGATAAAGCAAATATTTTCAGTAAAATTATAATTCATGTAAAGAACTTTATCTGAGAATTTTTGAAAAGTGACTTACTCTATTAAGTATATAAAATATTTTTTTCAAAAAGCCTTTTAGAATTTCAGCAATTTAAGTTCTACTTACACATGCTTTAAATATTCAGAATCTTCCATAATAAATATTGTTTTTTATTATACTTTGAATCACATTTTAAATTTAAGTTGTTTATCTGTCCTTATAAGCTTCATGCACACACACACACATACACAAACATACACGTGTACACATACACACGATTTATATATTATATATAATATTTCACAATTTGGAATTATATTTTATATGAATTATATTTTATATTTTTATTTAGAAATAAAGACTTGAAGGATTATGAAGCTTGGCTTGGAGTTCATGATGTCCATGGAAGAGGAGATGAGAAACGGAAACAGGTTCTAAATGTTTCCCAGCTAGTATATGGACCTGAAGGATCAGATCTGGTTTTATTGAAGCTTGCTAGGTTAGTTCCTTTGGAAGATTCTGTATTTTTAACTGAGACTAGAATTGTTGAAACATTTTCCTCCAGCTGTGTGGCTGTACTTTCTCTCTTAGTAGACATTTATTATTTCCCATATGCCATATGTAGATATGTGTGTATATGTGTGACTACTTGCAGAATTTTCAAACATGAATCTATCTACTACAAATTTTTTCTTTATAGATATTCTTCTTTTCTGTTTTTAAATAAACAATATTTAATTCCCTAAGCCTCAGCCTAAATATTACATCATATGAACACTACATTTTAAATGCTAATGTGTTGAATCAGGAAGATAGTACTTACCATTATATTTTCTTTCTTCAGGCCTGCTGTCTTGGATGATTTCGTTAGTACAATTGATTTACCGAATTATGGATGCACGATTCCTGAAAAGACCACTTGCAGTGTTTATGGCTGGGGCTACACTGGATGTAAGCTACTTTTTAAAAGATGAGGCAATATCATATTTATTTTACATATAAAATTTTGTATTTACTTCTTCTTTTCTCCTTTACCCTGTGCTCATTACCTGTATATTTTTGCACCATTCCAGTGATCAACTCTGATGGTCTGTTACGGGTAGCACATCTCTATATTATGGGGAATGAGAAATGCAGTCAGCATCACCAAGGGAAGGTAACTCTGAATGAGTCCGAAATATGTGCTGGGGCTGAAAAGATTGGATCAGGACCATGTGAGGTAAAATGGAAGTTCTTTAGTAGAGAATATATGATTGATAGCATAGTTTCTCACAGGTTTTATGATGATTTACTTTTCACAAAGCAAAATAATTATATACCAACCTGTTTCAGGAGTAGGAAACTGCAAAAGATAACCATGTCTTATTTTTACACATTTCTGTTAATTAAACAGTAAGACAACCCATGCTTCATTCATAGCAAATTGATGACATTTGCCTCTCAAAATAAATGAATAGAGCCAGAAGTCTCAGGAAAAACTGCAAAGTAAAAGTATCCAAATCTGTTTGATACGATGGCTTACATTTTTGTCATGTTTCTCAATTTAGCTGGTCCTCCCAAATTCTCCCTAAATGAACCCCATTAATATTAAGAAATACACTCCTGGTTTAAACTTTTAAATATGTTTTTGGGTAGACTGTGGTGTGTGTGTGTGTGTGTGTGTGTGTGTGTAAACAAATTCTTTAAAAAAAAAAAAAACCCTAAAGGTCAAAGTTTGTGAGTTTAAGAGCTTGGACATTTTCATTTGTTAGGCAACTGTTCTTTTAACTTGGCAGGGTTCCTATCCCAGTTTTACATAGACAAGCTGTTAAACTGTTATTTTAGATGTATTTTGAATGTGAGAGGCATGTTCTTCAACCTCAGAGCTGTGGCACTGTGGAATACTCTGTGTACTAGAGCACAGAATGAATTCAGTGGTAGTGAAATGCAGGTGGATATATTTTAAAAATGTATAACTTTGGCATGGAACTTAAACATGTATTGAAATTCATGTATTTTATGATTTCCTCTAAGATTTTTATTCCTAAGAAGAAATGTTTACTAAGTTAAAGAGATTTTTAGAACTGCTTTGAAGTGATATGGGTAGAAACAGACTATGTGCTTATAAACAATTTCAAAGTTGGTATCTTTCCAGCAAATGAGTATTTTGCAATAACAAGGAAAAATTGTAAAAGGGAACATCTAGTAGGAGAAAAATAAATATTGTTTTTTAAAAAGCTTTAATAGTCCTATTAGCTCTAAAGTTTTCAACTAGGTATAATTTTGGATACACCTAGAAAGGCATGTATTTTATCACAGCCTATTGCCATTTCCAACAATGACTTGACATCTGCTCTTCAGAAGTAGCCTTAAATCTAATTTGTTATCTATACAGTCTTCATTTCCTTATTTTGATATTGAGCCCTTATTTCATATGTGCTATTTTTATCTGTATCCCTAAGACTTGATTTTAGTTTTTTGTTACTTCTTAAAAACAAATTTATCCTCTAGAATGTTGGTGTATGTATATATGCATATATATGAACAAATGAATATATTTATAATTGAAATTTAAAACAAGGTAATTTAACCACCAAAAGAACTTTGAACAAAGAATCTCTAAATTTTTGTGTTATCAATAGCCTCGCATCAACAGTGTCTTCAAAGTGAATTGTTTTCAAGAGTTCATATTAGGATTCATCGGTGCATTTGTTTAAAAATCAGTTTTAATGCCTCAAAGACACAACTTATAGAAAGTCTATTAGAATAAGCCTTTTCTTTTCTATTTGATGTTTTATTTCTCCAATTTTCTTCATCACAGAATACTGATGGCTCTCTTCTTTTAACCCTCATTGCACAGTTACATTTTGCATTGATTTAGTTTTATCTCATCATATCACATTTAAAATTAAGATAGTACTGAACACTTTTTTCTATATAAGGATGCTCAGTCAATGCATTCTTGGGAGACTGCATGGTAAATGAAAAATGATGGAACACAGTTGCAATGTATATATGTAAGAATATATGTAGCTATATAAACATAGATATACATATGACTGTGTATTACATACCTATACATGAATATATCATACACCCATATCAATCTATCCTTCTATATTCATCTCTCATCTATCTCTGATGATGCACTAGTATCGCCATACAAGTGAAGGAATACTACTTGCCTAGAAAGGCAACTTCCAAAAAATAAATATAATTATTTTATAAACTTTGAGCTTTTTATTTAATTTGTTATGATTGTCTGGAGACAAGTTGAGAGAAGAGAGAAAACGTTAGAAGTAAGAAAAATATCAATATAGTTTGAGCATTAAAATCACATGATTACAACAGGTTTCACTTGTGCTAGTATTTTTATACATTTTCCAAATTTTCTATGTTGCAAGATTTGAATTATCAGAAGATCAAAATAAATATAAAATTGACCTTATTAAATAAATGGGAATTTGGTTTTTCGGCATTCAACAAAGGAAAAGAGAACTTTAAGAAATGAATGAATATTTTAGAAAAAAAAATCAAGTCATTCGTGTGTGTGTGTGTGTGTGTGTGTGTGTTGCTGTGCTGGGCATGGTGCTCAGGACTTCACACATGCCAAGTAAGCTCTCTGTCACTGAACTGTACCCAGCCTGAGCAAGTCATGCTTACATGATTACAGCATATGACAGAATAATTGGAACTTTATACTTAATCAGTCTTACATGTTTAATTCAACAGAAAGACAATCAGTTATATAACAGGCCAATTTTTATGTAATTCCATTCCAGTTTCAGTTATTTCCTTTTATGTGTGTATGTGGCCTAGAATTGCAAATGAGCAGAGGATTATATAAATGAATTATATATATTAATTTAATTTCTAAAATAATACTTTGTTGTTGTTACATGTCTTCTTTCTAGGGGGATTATGGTGGCCCACTTGTTTGTGAGCAACACAAGATGAGAATGGTTCTTGGTGTCATTGTTCCTGGCCGTGGATGTGCCATCCCAAATCGTCCTGGTATATTTGTCCGCGTAGCATATTATGCAAAGTGGATACACAAAATAATTTTAACCTATAAGGTAACACAGTTATAGCTGAAGTGTGTCTGAAGCGTCCATCAATATGTGATGATTTTACAAGAAGATTTCAGAGAACGTGGAATGAAAATGTTCCCTAAAATAATCCTAAAACAACTACTTGAGTGTCATGTTTGTTAAGATGCTCATTAATATATATGGGTATTTTCTGTTGTTCTGTTTGTCAGTGTTACTTTGTAAATGTTGAAGTGAATTAAGGTACATGCAAGTGCAGTAACATATCTCCTGAAGATACTTGAAAGGATTACAAGTGCAAAGGTTTAATTGCTGGATGATAAAGGATTTAATAGGAAAGATCAATTAATCTCTCTACGCTGCTTTCCAAGGTTAGTTTCTTAATGATAAATAAACCATAAGTTAAAAATTATCTTAACCTCATCCTAACAATTTATACCTTGTGTTGTCAAATTGTAACTTTATGTAAAATTATATTACCTTTCATATACCATATATCAGAGTTCATTCATTTCTCCTCACTGTGTATCCTACAATATTGGTAGGATAAAACATACTTTTATAAAAACACATAACCATTACACATGTTGGAGTAAACATGTGCTATGCACTACAGTTTAAATAGTGGTGTATCTAGTATAATCCCTAAATATTTTGGAAGTATGTATCCATGATTTCTAATATTGCAAACATTTCTAAAGATCAGTAGACATTTTAAGGCAAGGTACAAGATAGAAGTGACTATCCTCTGTACATAATCTACAGATGACCTCTACTGACAGGCATTTAAAATGAGATCAGGACCCACAGAGTTACAAAATTCTTAATCTAGATGTTTACATATATTTATTATCCTAGTAATTTCATGTAGTTTCTAACTCTTAAAGGAGAGAGAGTAATAGGTATATTTGTATATTTCTTTGCTCCAAATTTTGGTTCACTTATTTATGTAAGATATTTGCAGGCTTATTTTCCTAAAACATTTCCTAGTTTCTCAAGTTCATATCTAATTGAAGAAATTTAAAAGTGGTTTGGTCATTAAAATTGTATATAAATAGGTTAATTCCAATAATTGCCACTGCCAACTGATTCTAACTCACTCTCTTTAAATATTTAAAAATTATTTAAGAGAAAAACTTCCGTATGTCTCCTAAGTTTTCTTTACAGCTCTTAATTAAATCATGCAATTAAGTGCATATTTGAGGAAAGCAGAGAAATACTTTTCTCAACCTGGTAACTTTTTAGCCTACTAAATCTTTATTCAGGTAAGGGAAAACAATATATAAAAAGAAAGGAAAGGAACTAGTTTTCTAAACTTTTATATTCAACAATATTTAACAATTAGAGTTGAATCTGCTGAATCAGATAATTTATCTGATTAATATAAATTTAATTTATCTTATTTCATTTTACATGGCCTTTTCCTAATGCCATGGGAAATACTCATTTAAATTTTGTATTCTGTATGATAAAAGCCAAATTATCATATTTAATATTCTGTTTCCATGACTAGCTAACAATCTTGCATTTGTCAAGAAATGGGATAACAATGTAATAGAATAGGCTCTGAATTTTTACAAAGTCTCCCTCTATTTAAACAAGAATAATAAAAATAATTATTTGGATGTTTGAATCCAGTATTCCCATTTCTCTAATTTGGTTCTGTTAAATCATTTTTATTAATGCCAAGGATTGAAACAATGCCCAAAAAGTTTTCGAGTTTATTCTTCAATCTGAAGTAAAATGATTTTAAATTTACTGGAGAGCTTAGTCCACAGAATAAGGGCAGTAAATCAAAAAATGATTATAAAAATTGGAAAACTATGTCTATTAAGGATATATAGAGAGAATAAGTGCTGATATTAAGAAACAGCAAGAGCAAAGAGAGATCCAACTAGATACCAGTCCACATTATCTTGAGTGTATTTTTTCCATTATATAATATACCACTGTAATAAAGACACATAGAAATTTCAAGGCATATTGTCAAAATATTAAGTTACTTATTATAGTTTCTTCTTGCTGAACTGGCTAAATTATTGTCAAATATTAATCATACTGGTAAAACTTTAAAACAATTACTATAACTTAAAATACTCACATTTTAAACTATTTTTAAAATGTCTTTCCTATAATTTTCCAGGGAAAGAGAGGTAGAAATTATCTAGATACAAGATGCAGCTAACATTTTTAGAGACTTTGTACTCAGTGTTTTCCACTTTATTAAAGGGTTAAAATAACATTAATGAGTCATTAAACATGGTATACAAAGCAATTTTCTCTTTGGAAGTTTCCTTTGGCTAGAAGGAAATGGATGGCATTGACAATGAAAATTAGGTGAATAAGATCTATGTTATTTTAGGTGGTAGAACAGGGGATAACCATGTCATTATTCTCTGGTGAAAGATACTATTTACTGTGTGTTTTTCTCTGAATAAATACAAAAGAGAATGATAAATTTCAGCTTATCCAGAAATCCATTTTATTTTGTGTCATGGACAAAAGGGCCTTTTAAATTAAAAGTTTTCAATGCTATTTTTGTTTTGGCTGTTTGAGTAATGGTTATATGCTGTTATATTTGTAGACATTTTCTTATGTCTACCAGGAATAGAAATGTAAAATTAAAATATTTGTCATAATGCCTCTGCCGTGCAGAAGGGATGATAAGCCTTTTGTATACTTCTTTAATTTTATTGTAAAATATATAATGACTTTTACCTCTTTGCTGTAGGCAGGTCCTCAGTAAAATGGTTTATATTGAGTCAATCTGTAGTATTAACAGGCTCTTGCTTGCCATCTTAGTGTCTCAAACTATGGGGATGGTGAGACACTGGAAGGCAAGAAAAACAACAATAATGGCATGTGATAGCAAAATTGTATTTCACTTATTCCTGTGAATATATCTTGTTGGTACCAATGGTACTGTACAAAGTGAATGTTATAGCCACGGCATTCTCTTGAAAAGAACACTGTCAAGAAGTAGGAAATTGCTGTCAGGCATTTTCTTCTTTCCAAATATTTTTCTTTAGAAAGAAATATTAGCTTTTGCAACATAGAGATTATCAGGTAAAGAGTTTTAATAAGATCTCATAATAAAAAACAGATTGATTTACAAAGGTTCAAAAACGACTGCATTTAATTATTGGGTCTCATAGAAAAACAAATTTGAAAAATAAAATTTATTTATATCAACAGACATATTTATCTTTGTAAAATAATTTTTGAATAAATACTTTTCATGACTAAGTCCAAAAATTTATCTTCAATATTCAACTGAGTTTAGAATCAAGAATTTACTAATTAAAAAAAACGTTTTAATTTTTTGGACCCTGTAACTCTTGACATTGTAACTTTTAAGTAGGTTCATTTCCATTTGCACAGAAAGTTTCTATCTTTAGGAAACTGAAAATGGAATACTGTGGATATTATGATTGTCTTGTGTGTAAATAGGAAACTGATAAGCTGCCTATTGAGTGGTATAGCTGGATGCTTACCCAAAAAAGGGAACACTGTGGTTATGACTTGTATTATAAAGTTTCTGTAGTTAATAAAGTCGTTATTTTTATAACCATGATTATATTATTATTCTTAATAATAATAAAATATTTTATCAAAATGCTTCCCTTCTCTTTTATAATTATATGCATATATATATTTGTGTCTGTCCTAAGACTTTAATGCAGAAAACAGCAATAACATTTATTTGACAATAGTTACATATACTTTGTTGGAAGAAATGTATAACTTGTTTATAGAACTAAGACAAGAGATCTATTTTATTCCAACTCTATCCATAGTGATATCAATAGTCTTCAGTAAACAGTCTTGGGGCATTTTGGTTTCTCCAATTGTAAAATATAATTCTTTATTTTTTATATTTGCTAGAATGGTGCTTTGGTACTATATACAAAATATTATAATGAATGATTACTTAATTTCATTCCCAATATAACTCAATATTAAAAAAGTGATTTAAAATTATTTAGTTAATCATTTGAGGATATCTTTCAAAATGCTTATTAAATTTAGAATAAATATGAATCAAATAGATTCATTTAATACAAACTGGATTGATTAATCATCAGTGATCTAACCAACCAGAGCTCCATAACTGATTATTCCAAATTATATTTTCTCTCCACCAAAATGGTAGCTCTACTAATTATTCTGGCATAGATATTGATCTCAAGTGATGATTAATGTATCTAATTCTATAGCCCATAATAAATATCTGATCCTATAAATGATTGTAACTAAAGCAGAAGATACTTACTTGTTTGTGATATCAGTAAGAATATTTAAACTATGTATCTGTTGATTTTGCTAAATTTGTATTTTATTCTTTTATAGAAGAATTTCATCACATTCTAAACACATATTCTGCTCTTTTAAGTAGAATAGTCAGGCCAGGTGTGATGGTGGCACACCTGTAATCCCAGCACCTCAAGAGGCTGAGGTAGGAGGATCCCAAGATCAAAGCCAGCCTCAGCAACTTAAGGAGGCCCTAAGATTCTTTAAGGAAAATAGAAAAAAGGGTGTCAGCGGTGTGGGTCAATGTTAAGTGCCCCTGAGTTCAATCTCTGTTACTCCCACCCACTCAAAAAAAATAGAATAGTCAGGAAAACCTCTTTAAGACATGACATTTGGACAGGTTATTAATGAAGTGTAACAGCAAGTTTTGTAAATATCTGGGATCAGATTAAAAATACTTGGAAAATATTGCTATTAGTTTTCTAATACAGTTCATTTATTTATTGTTTTAGATTATAATGTTCTAATTAGTCACTCTTTGTGACTGTCCTGAGTCACCTTGGTGTGCATTCCTTGGTCTGCATTCCCTTTGTGTTTGAGTCCAGGAGTTGTATTATCATGCTATTTATCAGGCTCCTATGTAGGAACCATTCTTGATTAGCACAATTCTTCAGGACATTGTTGCATCCCTTTTACCAAGTTACAAGCCTGTCATATAAAAGAAACATTAGAAGTTTTCCCGTAAACTGCCTATAGTTCCTTTTGTCCTTTACATTTATAAATGTCTCAATTGCATGTGTTATTTATGAAAGCTGAGACTTAAAGCTAACTTAAGATAAAAGGAATATTGTAGTAATTGGAGCAGAGTTTGTGGTATTATGAAGAATATTATTGCCTAAAGAACATCTAACAAGACAGAAAATACTGACAAGAGAAAGAAACACTTTTACTTTCTATATTTCAAAAGAAGTTTTGGACTATATGTGTGTTTATGCTTTAAAAATTAGACAACATAAATTATGAATCTGACAAATAGTCTAAGCGCAGACTAACTTTGAACCTTTCACTCTGCAATACTCCTCAATGCTCATCACTTTGTTTGTACTGTTTTGAGTGTGTCTTCCTATCTAAGCTTCATGCCAGTATTCATGAGCATTGCCTCAACAGGTTAGAAGCCTTACCTGTCCCTTCATTTCCTCTGAGGCTGCACCCTTCTATCCCTACAGAGGTCGCCACTT